AGTTTAAGGTATTTATATATCTGAAGCCTGAACTTTATTATTTATAAATATAGCACTCAAATAATTAATATTACATTAACAATAACTGTATTGCGTGAAATGCAATTTTTTATTATTTTTGTGCTCTTATTTTCAATGTGGATAAGATCCCTTATATTTTATTTTATTTATTTTTGTTTTCTCTGTCGTCCGTATATAGGATAAAGACAAGGAGAGCAACTGAAGCAGCGGCCATCTGCATTTGAAGAGCTTCTTGCGACAGAGAAGGACAAAGTTAAGTTTTGTGCAGAGAGAGCTAAGGAGCGAGCGAGAGAAGATGGGCAAAGGTGGAGATGGAGGAGAGGAGAACATGGCAGCATGGCTCGTCGGCATTAACACTCTGAAGATTCAACCTTTCAATCTCCCGCCACTTGGTTTATATGCTCTCTTCTCCTCCTCCTTTTCTCTTCTGGACTTGATTTATTACCCATGCCTTGATTGATTTTGATACTGATTGCGATGTTAAAATTGATTCTGATTTTGGATTTCTTGCTGCTCATGATAAAAGATAATTGGTTGTAATTTACGATTTGTTTGTATTGGATTGATCTTAATCTCTATGCCGGTTAGATGTTTCGGTAATCAACGATTTGCCCTTATGGCTCTTATAGGGCTGCTTGGCCACAAGGAGGGTTTAGCAATTCTGTGAATCCAGATTACTGAATCGTGGGAGGATTAGAAACCAGAAATTGTTTGGCGTGAGGGATGTTAAATCTTAATTAATTATAAAATTATTAATTGAATTCATAGCAAGGCTGAAGAGGGTATTGTTAAAACGGTGAGGTTTAAATTCCTCAAAGCTGTTAGGGGTGATTTAATTTACAATTTTCTTAAATCCTGCGTAAAACAGGATATCGAACAACCAACCCTTAGCTTCGATATTGAAGGACTGGCTTCTGGATTTTCGTATGAATAGTTATCTTTTAATTCAGGATTAGATTTTGGGCAGATATGATGCCTAATGCCTCTTCTTCAAGTAATTGATGCTTTGGTTTTTGAATTGTTGGCATGTGGCTATTTTTATTGATCTGAAGAAGGATGTCTTTTTGTATTGTTAAAATCTCTTTTCTTGCATCAATCATTGCATTTTGTTTTTCATTATCTAATTTAGGGGATGTCTGGTTATGATTTTATGTGGGATTTAACTTTAAAATGCCAGATGAAAAAATGGCAAATTTTAAATCCTGAATTTAGTAAATCAAGTTTCATCTCAATTCCTCTCATATTTAGGGTTTGAAAAATTGACCCAACATGTCAACTCAACCTAAATCTGACTCAAAAAATTCAGGTTCGAGTTAACCCGAATAATTTTTTGAGTTGTGTTCGGGTTTTAGCAATCCTATATCATTTAATTTTTTTGCTCGGATTTAGGTTGACCCACCAACCTGAAATTGATCCAAAACCAACCTACTAACCCAAAATTAACAAGAAATTGATCCGTCAATCCAAAAATAACCTGAGATTTACTCGAGAATGGCCTGAATTGGACAAGAGTATTTGCTATGCCTTACATTAAACGGGTTGGATTCAGGTCAGCGGGTTGAACACAAGTCCAATTAGAGTTGGACTTTCTGGCCTGTTTAATATTTAAGTCGGGTTCGGGTTAAGCTATTTCAGATTTGGTCAATTTCAGGTTAGGTTATACCCACAAACCCAGTTTCACACCCCTATTCTTAAATCCTGAATTTACTAAATCCTGGTGTTGATAGGATTTAGTAAATCAACTAAATCCGGATTTGTTACTAGACAACCTTAGTTTCTAAAATTTGTAATCTTTGTATTAAACTTCAGTTTCACTTTTGTTTGGACATGGTTGATAGTATGACTAATAACGGCCAACTTTGTCACCTTTACTTTCTCATAATTGGTTTAACTTTGGTCAGGCCCTCATGAGGCTCGTATTCGGATGAAAGCTGTTGGAATTTGTGGCAGTGATGTTCATTACCTAAAGGTTGAAATTTCCCATATATTGACTAAAATTGTTTTCTATTGCATGCTTCTTCTGTCATTTTTGAGTTGATTTTGAATCTGATAGATTTCTCTGGCTATAAATTTCACTGTTAAATCATAGGCGATGAGGTGTGCTCATTTTATTGTCAAAGAGCCCATGGTGATTGGACATGAGTGCGCCGGGGTTGTTGAAGAGGTAGGAAGCGAAGTGAAGTCTCTTGTTGTGGGCGACCGTGTTGCTTTAGAACCTGGGATCAGTTGTGGACGTTGCAAGCATTGTAAAGGCGGGCGCTACAACCTATGTGTTGACATGAAATTCTTTGCTACCCCACCTGTTCATGGGTCTCTTGCTAATCAGGTAAAATTTTTATAATGATATATACTATTTAGTTCTAAAGTCATGAAACCTATCTTATTAATGTGATGATTATCATAAGCTTATATTCATATGGATGTACTGATACTTTGTTAAAAGTTTCACCTTTTTTAAAGCTTTATCCAACATAGATTGATGGAAGCAGACTTTTTGGTTATGATTGGAATTCTTTGCCACTAAAAGCTGCTTTGGCTCAAAATTTGTTTCTTTATTCTATAAAAATTTCCAATTTTTTCTTAGATTGAAGTTTGAATATTTGCAGGTGGTGCATCCTGCTGATTTGTGTTTTAAGCTTCCGGACGAGTTGAGCTTGGAAGAAGGAGCCATGTGTGAGCCCCTTAGTGTTGGGGTGCATGCTAGTAGGAGAGCTAATGTTGGTCCAGAGACTAATGTGCTCATCATGGGAGCTGGACCTATAGGATTAGTCACTATGCTTGCAGCACGAGCCTTTGGAGCCCCGAGAATTGTTATAGTCGATGTTGATGAACACCGCCTTTCAGTTGCAAAATCTCTTGGTGCGGACGAAACTGTTAAGGTTTCGACAAATATTCAGGTTTAAATTTTTGTTTTTTTAATATGTTTGATAGATAGCCTTTTTTTTCCTAGTTGGTTTTACTCTATGAAGGGATTGGAATCACAGATTAGACTTAATACATTGATGAAATTTTCTTGTACACAACTTAGAACTAAACTTTTCATCATCTGATAATAGACTTTAAGTTTCCTAATTTATTTGATAACATTGAATCCAGAATCTCACATTACAAAAGACAAAAAGAAGTTTAGGAAGAAGAATAAGTAGAAAGAGAAATATTCTAGAGAGAGAAGTTTCGAGATTTCTATTGCTAGCACAAAATGCTAAAGAGATCTCCCATGGGAAAACTGCCCTTTAACCCCACATTCTTAGGGTTTCGGGCATTACAAGGAAATCAGCACTTGGAAAAAAGTTAAAATGTACATGACTAAACTATCACAATTATATATATATAATAGCTAAAAACTCTGATGGTTACATGTGGACAACTTTCTTTCTTAGTTAATGGAGTTGTCGAGTCCATTGATGACCTTGTCAACTAAGCTCTTTAACCTCAAAATGTTGAGATGGGTAGTTTTTTGAAGTGGGTGAGTGGTCTCCAAGATGGGGTGAGTGATCTTTACGAGTGATTAGATCAACATAATTTTTGTGAGTTTATTATGACTCTGATGAGCTCAATGTGATTTCACCGAGTTTATCATGTTTAATGCGTTCAACATGATTTTGGCAAGCTCACCATGGATTACAAGTTTAGTATGATTATGACATGTTTATTATGAGTGATGATTTTATAATTAATCTTGAGAATTCACGATAAACTTAATGAGTTTCTGAACTTCAGTAAATCGGGAGAGTTCACAGTGAATCTAAAGAATTACTATTTTGATTTTTCTTGCTTGATTAAGTTGCTTTGAACTTTAAATTGGATCATCTTAAACCTAGTTTATGAAATATCTTAATGTACAGAGCATACTTTGGAAGTAATAACAATTAACGCAAAATCGACAAACCTCGTTCCATGGCACCTACCAAAGTCTTTTCTTTTGACTTCTTCATTTTCTCCTCCGGTTATGCTTCAGATTGATTGTACTATAAGCAGTACTATAGTTTTTGATAGGATGTTTATCTTTATAAGCATGATGAAAGCAATAAGTCGAGATAAAGTTGTGAAATAGAAGTTGGGCCAACGGAAAAGCAAAGGAGTTACTAATATTTGAAGAAAAATTGTTTAGATTGACAAACTAAAAGTATAGAGTTGAACCAATTGATCTTGGATATGGATGAATGATTGCATTAATAATATTGTTAACAATATTTAAAATAGTGTAAATGTAATTTGTGTTTGAGTGATTAAGAAGATTTGGTGTTGTACTAAGGCGAGATAAAATTGATAAGAAAAACATTTTAAAAAAATTGCAAAAGCCAACACTAAGGAACATATAAATAAATGTTAAATATATGAAAAATATGGTAAGGTGAAAGAAAGGAATGCAATCATGGTTCCATCAATTCCCTTTTAATGGAATACTTGTTAATACATTGTTAAACCGGAGCCGTAGGCACTTTCCTCGTGATCCACTAAATCTAGTGGTCCCACTAAACTCACACCGAGCCCGCCAAATAATTTGAAGACTTTATTTTAGGCGCAAGACTAAAAAGGCAATTTAGTCATTTTTTAGTTATTTTTGTTTGTTATAAATATGGTGTAATATGATAAGGGTTATGGTATGTAATTGTTATCTTTAGTTTTAGGAGTTAGAGTTTGAGTGATAATTGTCTACTTCTCGAATTGTAGGTATATCTTTTATGTATTTGGGATTGCTTTGTTTTGTGCCGGTAGAGAAAAATACTTTATTTTACCTACCCTAATTTCTGTTAGTGATATAAGGCTATATCTAGTGTTGTGGTGCTGTACGATTATTATTATACTTCCACTATTCTTCAAGCCACTGTTTTTTTTTTTTTTTATTTACGGTTGGTTTATGGTATTACACACATGATTTATTGTTGTTGATGGAAAATGTTAAATTTCGGTGCTTGTGATTTGTTACATGTACTTTACTTTGAGACTGCATCATCTACTCATTAGAAAAAGGATCTTATATGGCTATTTATTTATTTATTTATTATTAATTTTATGAACTTGTTGTTTATTTAAAGTCAAATTGGGCCGATCTTGTGCTAGCCATATCTACTAACTTAGGTAGGAGGTTATAAATGAGCGAATAAAGGCATATTAATTATGAGTATTGGCTTAATAAAATTTATCTTTTTAGTTTCAATCTTGTTTGCAATTTTAATTTGTGATGACTTCGAGTGCAACACAATTGCGACCACCTATATCCTGGATATAATCTCTTTGTACTAGCATAAGATTTACTTCTTTTATATTGATGTTTTTGTATATTGTTTATATTTCATCTATATTTTATGATTTAGATTCGTAAGTGAAATTTGGCATATTGAAAATTCATTTATAGGAGTTCAATTGTAATTGCTAATTTTCCAGGATTATTTTGTTTATTTCCTCATCTGTTAGGTTTAATTCTAGTAAGGATTCTTTACATATAAAGAAGACAAGCTGTTGAAGTAATTTTTTGTTTGTAATATATGATACCTTATGTATTTTTATATTTATTCATATTATGCTCATATTATTTGTCTTAGAAAATCCTTTTATTGAACTATCCATTTCTTTTATTATCCAAAAGAACAGTTCCTGATAGATTTGCAGGCTCTTACTTTGGAGTGATTTTATCCACTTTGTCAGCCTCCACATCTTATATTACCTTAGTGAATATTTATCTTAAAGAGAATATGATAAAGTCTTGTTTATACATAACTGGATAAATGATTAAATATGAGTTTTTATATATAT